CACAATGCATGCTGGTTAGATTTGATGCTGATTTGTATGACTTTCTTTAATCACGCTGCCTCCTGCTGCAGTAAACCTTAGCAGTTCATCTTAATGTGTGTTTTTAAGGCTGCAGTGTTATTTTAAGCAGCAGGAATGTATGAGACAGTTTTGGCCACCAGGTTGCGCCTGTGAGTGAGCAGCAAGTTGTAGCTGCAGAAGAACAACGACTCTTCCTCACGTTGTTTCAGGCAGCAGATAAAGTGTGAAAGCACATTGGTTTGTTTTGTTAAATATAGAAATAAAAACCAGCAGAAGTCGCCCGAGCGTCCGTCTGCGACATGATGAACTCATGAAGTTGACATTTTCCTGGAGTCAGTTTGCATTAAAGTCTTTTTTTTGTTGTTTTCCAGATCGAAGAGGATGAAAAGCTGAAAAAGAGGAAGGAGCGGTTCGGGGCGTTAAGTGCAGGTTCAGTCGGTTCAGTCGGTTCAGCCGATGTCGAGGTTTGTTTCCTTTCCACTGCTTTTTATTCTTCTGACTGATATCAATATGTTTTTAGAGTGTGTATTAATGTTTCTTCTCTTTCTCCAGGCGAAGAAACTGAAGCGCGCTGAACGATTTGGAAATGTGTGAATGATGTTTTAGACCGTTATTGTTGTTTTTTTTCTTCTGTTTTTTTTTTTTTGTTCTTTTGGTAAAACATTTTCATGGCTGCACAACAGAGACAACAACTGTCGATTAAAAGGATTCCTGAAAAATCTAAAGTATCATTAAATACAAAGAGAAATAGGCGAGTGAGATCAGTTATTTTAATTCACGCAACCAGGAACTAAAAACCAACCTGCGTCTAAAAATGTCTCATTATCATAAATACAACAAGGGAAATTAGAAATATAAAATGTATAAAATCAAGTTGAACAACAGAAATATTTTGGCATTTTAAAAAAAAAGTAAATCTTGTATTTGTTAATTGGAATTAATGCAATTAAACATTTTGTAATAATCCATTTAAATGATTAAACTGACCTATTTGTATTTACTGTGTGTATATTGTACTTTTGATTTATCAGATCGGCCTGTTATTTTGTTTTTTTGGTGGGGGGGGATATCATTGGTACACTGATTCAGTTATCTGTCCATTTTATAACCTTTTTGTGATTTAAAATAAATCGTTTTCAATTTTTTGCTACCTGCTTTGTTCGACTCGTTTGTTTCGTTTGGAGTCTTTTTATTTTACCGAGCTGCAGTCGAACACACAGAGGCAATTTATTATCAACTTCAAACCTGAGTGATCATCATCCTACAGTACTTTGGCTGTTTTATGTAATCCCCTGGTTGACATTTATACCTGTAACCATTTAATCAATGCTGTGAGTATTAGTTATCAATAAGAGATAAAGGGAACTTCTGTGATTGGTTGCACAGTCCAGCACAGGAACAACGTTAATATTGACCGACGGTAAAGAGACACTGAACTTTAAGCCTCTTTTGAACTAAATAACAATAAGTAGCAGGTTGGACACTGGAAAAGTTTCTTCATGTTATTATTGTGTAACTTCATACTGCTTCTCGTGGCCGATAACAGTAAGAAAAACAATAATTTCACATTTGTGTATTTTATAATAATGAGTTTATAACCTGTAGTTTTTACACTCCTGATGGTAAGAGAGGCCGAGGTACAGTGAACAAACATGGACAATTTAATATTTTATAACTGTTCAAACCAAATCTAACTGACTTCACAGTTAACAAAAACAGTTCTCTTCAAACTTATATTTTCTAGTAAAGTAAACCTTCACAAAGAACTTTAGAGCGTTAAAACAGCTTAAAGTCCATCGATTGTTCAGAAGAATTCAAAATAAATTATTATGGAGCGAAAATGTATCAGCTGTAGTTTAATTAATGATAATGCAGAATAATATAAATCTCCTACGATCCTACAATCATTTATCTGCTCTGATAATTATCTAAAAATCTATTCTTTGAACTTATTATAGTAGAGCCCACAAATACAAATATGAACCTGAAAGTGAGAATAATATATCTAATCATTAAGATTGATTCAGATATTAAGTACCATTATTAAAACTCATAAGTTAGTAATCAGCAAAAGGCACCAAGTAACTAAATTAACAGCAAATATATTATTTCTTAATGTAACCATTGTCTACATGGATATTGCTATTTGAGTGCTTGTTTTTTAATTGGTGATGTTGGTTTATGTCACTCAATCAGTGGACTAGACCAGTGGTTCCCAACATGAGGGTAGAGACCCCCACTTAGGGTCGGCAGAGCATCACAGGAGGTAAGAAAACTTGAAATCTCAGTATTTCTATAAAGGAAACTAAATTAAATTGTTATATTTAAGGTTTAGATTATTATTTAAAAATTACACAGGATAAGGGCACAGTGATTAACGGCCTCGTCCTGCATTTGAGCTGATAGATAATGAGAAGAAAACAGTGAATTTGTCCCAAAAAAGCCACCAAGTCAGTAATTTTTAAATAATACTGACATTAACATACACACAATACACACAATACTATATTAAATAATATTTTGTTTTTAAAGGACCAGCCAGAGACAGCGGATGAGAGGCAGTAGTCATGTCCATTTACTGTTGTTGCATACACGTTGATACAAACAGGGAAACAAAACTGAGGATGAACAAAGAAAAACAACAAACTACATAATTCTCTTTCCTTCACCGAGTTATTATACAGACAAAAAACAAATCAAATAAGCAGCTGCACTTTTTGTTTAAACATTAGATACAATTATTAGCTTTTTACACCCAGCTTCAATGTTACTTACATTGGCACGTTGAAACATAAAATAAAAAAAAAGATAAAATAATGATAAGCTGATGAAATCCCGCTTCTGGTTTTATGATGTTCAAATAAAATCATTCTCTCACTGTCAGACGCCGACAACAGAAACTAAAAGGAGAAGCTCAGTAAAAAGCTCCAGATGAGCTCCGAGTTCAGATGTTTAGATGATTTTGACGACGGGTGCGCTGCGTCAACCTCGTTTTAATCCACAGATTGGCTCCGAACAGTGTGTGACAGATCAATACATTATCTAAAATCCCACAAAAAGACCAAAACCAACAATGAATGTATCAAAGCCTGAGATATTCTCTTCCCCAGAGCCACAGAACAACTACTTAAAATACATCAATGAGCCTAACTGTTAACGATTAATTATCAACTATTAAATTAATCACCAACTATTTTGATAGTAAAAATGGCTTGAAACAGATAATCTAAGGAAAATGTTTAAATTATCTGATTTCCGGCTTTTAAACTGGGCTGCTAATATAACGATTATTGATAAATATGTTTATCATTTTCTCTATTAATTTATTGCTTGGTTCAGAAAACATTGATCACTGTTTCAGTGACGAGTAGTCCTTAAATATATTGTTTTGTCTAAAACCCAAAGATATTCAGTTTACTATTTACTAATTATTCACATGTGAGAAGCTGAAATCAGAGAATTTGGACATTTTTCAATATCAATATCAAAATAGTTTCATTTAATAAGTTTATGAATAATTGATTAAATGACTAACCATTGAAGCTCTACTGTCAAATGTGAACATTTAATATAAAGACATTTGGGTTGTAGTTGTGGGCGAAAGACAAGGTTAAAATTGATGCAGCAAGATATCCTGAGTTAGTTCTAACTACACTTCCCATAATGCAACAGCTTCTTCCATTAGATCGTCCCTGCCTGGTTAAAAACCTTCGTCTTTTAAAACGTCCCGTTACGGATCTGTACACAAACGTGATGTCGAAGCTCCTCCGGACCCACAGAAGACTTTATCGGACTGTTTTTACAGGATGTGTAGTTCTAGAGACTTATATATGTGTGAGGTGTTTTTAAAGACTTACATCTTCAGTAGAAACAAATTACTGGGTTTGGTCTTTTCATGGAATAATACAACATTGGAGCACCAGACTTGTTTGACGCAGAAGAGCTTCAATACTCTTCAAAATGAACAAAGTCGTGAATAATGACACCAATGACTTCTTATTTTGGATTTAAAGTTGTTCACAATGTATAATTTCAATAGTACCGTATCATATCACTTTATTTAATAAAGAAGCTGTAGCTGTCACACACGGTCAATGTTTTACCAAATTCAACTCATAATTACAGTCAACAGTAAAGCCAGATTTAATAATTATAGAGTCCAGACACACTACGCTCCTGGAACATGAGAAGAATAAATCAGAAACTGTTGAGTTATCTTCTCTTCCCTTTTTTAAACTTTACACCTGCAGCTGGTTTTGGGGGCTTTAGCGTAGAGAATCCGACCGTTTGGCGTCCTGAGCCACACGAGGACGAACACACCTTCAACACACCAGACTGACAGAAGAGTCTGATCACTTCTCTGAAACGTACAAAAAAAAGAGAACATACAAGCGTGCAGACCCAACGAATCCTATACCAAAAATCAGTTGGCATAAAAACCAAAAACCAAAATGACACTCTACATGTTTTTAGAAAAAAATTACAACAGAAAGTAAAACTAGTAGAAATGTTTCTCTTTCTCAGATTGAGCTAATCATCGGTGTACATTAACAGTACTTATGGCAGCGGGCGAGGGGAGGAGACAACTTGTTACATTAACTACAGGGCAGTTCCAGGTAGCACTTCACCTTTAGCCTTATTCCAGTGTAGAAACTCGTCCTTTTGAAACCACAGTAAACTATTGTAGTGATGCAGTGCTGTACGAGTACTGTGTGTATGCTTTGTTACTGAGCAGTGTGTTATTGGTTAAAAACTGAAGGATAAAACCAAAGGAAGTGTTACCGTTGTTCTGCTCTCCCACAGTTCGGACTGCAGGGCGGTCTTTCACAGAAACAACCTCTGGCTTCTCGCTCTCTCTCTCTCTCTAACACACAAACACACACACACACCACCGCCTTGTTTTGTAACAGCAGTAAACATCTGGAAGACATCTAAGCGTCTAAATCGGTTATCACTACCGCTAGGGGCGTGGTAAATATCCAGATGTGGCGTCTCTACCTGCTGCTGACAGTGGGGTCGTTTTAAATAAAGGCTCTGCTGTACATCGGAAGCTAAAGGTTGTTTGTCAGACAAGACCAAGTTCATGGAATTTCTCCCTCTCCTCCTCTTCCTCCTCCTTCCCTGGTTGGCTTTGTGGCCGCTGGCGTGCGGCGTGCGGCGGTCTGAGCCTCCCCGCGAGGATCCCGGAGGCCGTCACACCGTGCAGCATCTGTTCCGGAAGAGCTGATCGACCACCGAGGAGTCGGCCAGCGTGGAGATGTCTCCCAGGTCTCGTTCGTCGCAGGCGATTTTGCGGAGCACCCGTCGCATGATCTTACCTGCGGAGAGCGGCGGACACACGAAGAGGGTCAAACATCAAGCAAGTGAAAGCTAAGGGAACTTAAAAATATACACTATAGGCCAATATATCAGCTTTTCATTCAAAAAAAAAAAAAACATCTGAAAACAATATTCAAATGTCAAATTTCAAAATGTCAAATCTTTGGTTTTGCACCAACTTCCTGCAGTTATTTTGTTCACCGTTTGGGTTCACTGTACAGTTTCTCAGTTCTGTTAATATCCATAAAATATGACACATAGTTGGGTTGTCAGTTTTCTCTATGATAGAAAAGTAGTAGGAACAGATCTAGAGGGTAACATCACTTTATTTTCTCTGGAAAACTGGAAATAACTATAACTTATATATAATATATATAACTAATATACTGTTGGAATGAGTCCGAGTCCCATGTTAAGTTCTGACTTCACCCTTTCCTTTTTAAAGCTTTATATATTTGTGCCATACATTTCAGAGTAAAGAACTTTACCGGATCGGGTCTTGGGGAGTCCTGGAGCCTCCTGGATGTAGTCTGGCGTGGCGATGGCACCGATCTTCTCCCGTACTGTGAAGACAACTCACATCAGAATCTGAAGTCTCACCGAAGACCAGGTTTTATTATAAAGGTTACGCAGAAGTTAAACTGTCTTAAAATAAACATCTCAGACACAACTAGATAAACTTTTGTAGAAGCTGTTGTATCTGTGCAGCAGGATCCGATTCAGGTTTAAATCTCCTCCTTTTTCTTTACTAAATAGTACTAGAGCTTCAGTGGAGACTTTTCAGAAGCTCTTCCTCCCGGACAAAAACACAATTCTACAAAAACCACTTGAATTGTCAAAGATTAAAAGTCAAACACTTTTCCCAGAGCCACGTTTAACCAACCTTGTTTTTTGAGCTCCGCCTCCAGCGTGCGGTTGTACGTCACTCCGTCAGTGAGAGTTACGAAGCAGTAGAGACTCTCTCCTTTCACAGGATGAGGTCTGCCCACCACAGCGGCCTCGGCAACGACCTCGTGCTCCGCCAGAGCCGACTCCACCTCCGCCGTACTCAGCAAGTGACCTGGAGGGAAGGAGGGCGGTTAACGGACCGTAGAACGTAAATCTTCCCAATTTATGATCATCAGGAACAGAGTTTATCTTTAGAGACAAGAAGAAAACTTTCTTCTCCTTCTCTGAGAAGCTATTTGAGTTTCTGGTTTCTGTACATTTGTTGTACATTACAGTCAAATTGTTACTTTAAACATTTAAAATAAAATAACACAGGTTTCATCAGATGATCTCAGCTGTCAGTCTTACCTGAGACATTCAGCATGTCGTCTATCCTCCCTGTTATCCAATAATAGCCATCCTTGTCTCTACGGCAACCTGTGATTTAAAAACAAACACACATTAAAAACAAGTCAATAAATGAAAAGGAAGAAAAGCCTAAAATAAAAAGTATATTCTCATGAGTGTTTGATCTCACCGTCTCCCGTCACGTAGTATCCAGGGAACTTCTTGAAGTACGTGGTTTCAAACCTCTGCTGGTTTCCGTACACGGTCCTCATCACGCCGGGCCACGGCTGCTTGAACACCTGATCGAAGGCAGAGACGACGAGCCAGAGAGTGAAACACAGATTCAGATACTTCAATAATAATAATAATAATAATAATATTAATAATAATAATAATCCTAACCAGGTATCCTTCACTCGGTCCCTCCAGCTCTTCTCCTGACTCATTCAAGATTGCCGGCACCACGCCGAAGAACGGGAACGTCTGGAGGACAGAAAAGAACAGTTTAACTTCTTGACTGTATATTTTATTTATTTATTATGATATTAAAATCAGATTTTTAATGAAGGTTTGACAGTCATCTAGGAATAAATCTACCCAGTTTAATCTCCTCTACAATGAAATACCAGTCAACTCATTATATCTTGCGTTGTCTTATTGCTCTACAGTCATGTCTTTATTCTTTAATCTCGTCCTTTTTAATAAACATTCATGTACTCACAGCGGAGCCCGGTTTCATGGGTGTGGCTGCAGGAAGAGGAGTCAACACATGTCCACCCTGAAAGACCCCAAAACATCCAGTTAGAAATGTTGTTTTTTTTATCCGACTGGGTGTGAATAACCTGTGTCTCCAGCAGGTGGCAGCACAGTCAGCAACCACTGCTGAGTGAGGGAGTTAAAAACAGTGAATGGAGGATAAATTACACATTTTTATGTCAATGTTTTCTTTCTAAATGTGTAGATTGTAGGGAGTTCTGTCCTTTGTTTGTCTATGAGGAAGTTAAATTATCTCTAACACAATATGAACGTTAAGAAGCTCCTCAGTGGATGTCAGAATAACTATAATATACTTTATTAACTTACAGTTTCCGTCTGCCAGAAGGTGTCGACAATAGGACATCTCTTCTCTCCCACCACATTGTAGTACCACTGCCAGGCCTCGGGGTTGATGGGCTCTCCCACCGTCCCCAGAACCTTCAGAGACTGTCGTTTATACCTGCAGAGAGAAAACAGGTTAGACGAGTTAATGATTCACCACAGAAACCAGTACAGCTGCCTCCCTGCGTGCAAAAAGACCCAGATCATCACTTTCCTGTTGGGCTTCTAGGTCAAACTATGTTAGTTTAACAGGTTTTTTCTGGAACTGCACATTTATCTTTTATTTCCTGAATGAAAACATGATACGCGTCACTGGAAGTCAACGTTTGACGCTCAGAAACGACTCACTTTTGCACCGGCTCGCTGCCGAACTTCATCAGCATCCTGATGGCGGTTGGAGCTGTGTAGAACTTGGTCACCCGATATTTGTCCACAATCTCCCACATACGACTCACATCTGGGTAGGTAGGCAGGCCCTCAAACTGAAACACACACACACAAACAGAACGGAGATTATAACGTCACATTTCAGGCTTGGTACCAATCAATCTATCTTCTGCCTGAACAATAGGGTTAGGGTTAGGGTTAGGGTTAATTCAATTATGAATTCCAATAAAGCGAACAATAATTTGGTTTATAAATAGATAAAGCTGATTAATCAATAAATCTTCTTTTTGTTTAAGCTCTAATTCAAACTAATACAAACTTGCAGAAAGGTCAGACTGAAGCTTTACAAGTTAGAAGAGACAACAGGTTATTAAGTAAATGTGTAAATCATGTAAATTATTAATATTTTGATGAAATATGTCCAATCACAAGTAGTTCATATTCTAAAGATCTTTAAAAAGGGACAAATATTAAAGAAATTCAAAAGACTTACACTAGAAATAGTGTTTTTCTAGCTGGTTATGCTTATTATATGTTCTATACAGAATACTGTACAACTAAATATAAATAATAGGACGGAAGGATTTTAAAGACTGGATTAGTTGCAGACCGTAATGGACACCACCTGCGATCACAATAGATCGACCATCAGCCAAGTTGTTTGAAGACTAAAAAACAGGAAGTTGAGCAACTGTTTGACCCCTCAGCCCGCACTCACCAGGACGCTGGTGGCCCCGTTAGCCAGCGGGCCGTAGGTGATGTAGGAGTGCCCGGTGATCCAGCCGATGTCGGCCGTGCACCAGTAGACGTCGTCGGGCTGGTAGTCAAACACCAGTTTGAAGGTGATGGCGGTGTACAGCATGTAGCCGCTGACCGTGTGAAGAACTCCCTGCAGACGAGACGATGTTTCAACAGCGAGCAACATTCCTGAAACGCTCTCGGAGGGATTTTAAGACGGGTGAACGCAACGTCGTACAGCCGTGCCCGGTGAAATTTCAGGGTAAAAGCTATCACAAGTGGGACAAGAGCGAAGCAGGATGTGGTCCATGCTCCAGTGAGCACATCCTGGACATTGTCTGGACTCAAGTTACCAAATTTATTTGCAGATGCTTTGAGTTTTTTTTTGATAAATGTATCAGCAGTTAAGTCTATACAATGTCAACCAAAAGATATTTATATTTTCTCTTCTGTTTAATGATATAAAAGAAAAAAGAAAGCAGCAAATCCTCATAATAAAGAAGCTGCTTGGACATTTTTATTTGTTAACAGCGTGATATCGTGTTGTTCAACTCATCAAGTAATTATCTGAGCGCTACGTTTACAACTTCAACCAGCTTCCCCCCTACTTAAATATGTACAAATCACAGGTTGAATAGTTAATTATGTTTTAAATGCACATTTGTGTGTGTTTACGCTACCTTTGGTTTGCCAGTTGAGCCGCTGGTGTAGAGGATGAAGAGCGGATCTTCAGACTCGCACCACTCTGGTTCACACTCGTCTGAAGCTCCACGAACCAGAGTGTGCCAACACAAGTCCACGTCGGGGTTCCACGGGACCTGGTGTCAAACACACACACACAAAAAGGGACACACACACAAAACAGACAGGACGAATGAACACACAAATTCCCCTCGTTATCTATAAAATCATTAAATCCGTCACTAAAAACTCAAACAACAAAATGTCTCTACGATCTAAAAACACACAACCAAAGTGAAAGAAAGTTAGTTTGACAAAAAATGCCTCGCAAACCAGCTCAGAGGGAGAGCAAACGAGAGAAAAACGTGAAAACTGTGGATCTGAGTGAATAAAAGCAACAAAGAGTTGTTAGAAAACTTACAGACAATGTCACTTATTACCTGTGTGTCAATCAGAGCTGGGTCACCTACTGTGGGATGTACTAAAAGTACTGTACAGTTTAAGGACTAATGGGGGTATTTTATATCTTTGTTAGACAGAGTTGACTCACAGAAAGAGAGAGATCAAGATAGAGAAAGATAAGATGCAGACACTCATAAAAATAAATCTACAACATGTTTCTAAAAGTGTCTCAGTTTGTCTCCTGAGTGACGGATGAACAGTTTCGGGGGGTTTTGGGATCAATCTCCTCTGACTTAATGTGTCAAAAACAATCAATCAGTCCCAGAAACAGTAAACAGACCCAGATCTGATGTCCACTCAACATCTTTCACACACACAGAGAGAGAGAGATTCATCTCCAATAACGCTGTTAAAGAGGGATTCATACAGAGCCGACTAATCAGCATCGTGTTAAAGACGATGGCAGAGTCCTTGTGTTTTCAATCACTGCTTCCTACACGCTCAGATGTTTCTCATTATTTAACTGAGCACAAACCAAAAAGGAAAT